TTCGTTAATTTACATTGGCGTAATATCGGGGACAAAGTTGGGCAATTTCCAGGCGAATTAAATCGCCGATATCCGTATTCGCTCTAATTAAAATATTGGAACGCGCGAGAATGATTAAACTAATATCTCACGGGTTCGACTGCTAACCGGCTAACGCAATTTAAATACCAAAAACGCGCTTTGACGCTATTAGTTTACAAACCCCATTTATCTCGAACGCCGCGTGCACACGAGGGGCTGCAACGTGTGTATTGAGCACATCACGCGGTGTACCGGTGCATATGAGATATCAAAGTAAATTGACACAGCTTTACTTGACAACCAGCTAAAATTGCTAAACACTTTCTACGCGTTTAGCCATGCGCCTGTATAAACAACCGAATATATTTACATTGCAGAATAAGTTCTCCCGCAGGATCTCTCCATTCCTGAAACGACGAGTGCCTCTACAAAATAGAATGGAACAGAACTACGCGACATTGTCTGCACGATGCCCCCGAAACATGTCTGTAATCATACATATTTTACGCGTACATCGAAGCAGTATTACGTTCACATCGTTAAATAATAAATAAAGTTGATTAATAGCACTCTGTGGCGTTACCGTTAAAGCGTAACTCGGCTCTGTAATGTTCAACACGTTGACTGTTGCGTGAATTTTATATAGCCGCGATAGGTTGAAATATACAACGCCATAACATTTAATTTTTGCAAAATGTTATATCGTATTTGCGCGTATTTTTCTCTGACAATGTCATTTAAATCATTCGCATCGTTGACGAATTTTTAGCCCATGAAATATATCTCGTTTTAATCATCCTAAAAAACGTAGTAAAAACATCGCGGTCATCGATGATCACCGTGGCAGTCAGCGTGTTAATACGTGTAACGCTTTACCATTCAAATTTAATTTTAACCAGTAAAAATTCATTCCCACGGAAAACGCTCGTACAATGTCTCGTTAACACAACTTTATTAATTAGTCGTCGTCACAGGGAGACATCACGTTCTTCCATTCACAGTTTCGTCGATATATTTGCATTTAACGAAGAATATCGGTTCAAAGCGGCAATGAAACGCGCGCAAAAATGGCAGATGACGTGCGACGAACACGGGAAATCAATTTCCAAGGCGTGAACGGGGACAACAATTCAAGAACTTTGTGCAACGAGTGCAACGCTTGTAAATGTACTTCGACAAGCGCGTGAATGGCGATTCTCGTCACGTGTGCGGGAACTCGCGCGCGCATCAAGCCGCGCACACTCCGATATCACGTAGGGGTGGCCTGCCGGTTACCGAATAAATCATTGCCCGTGAAAAATATCCCTGGACCCTTGGGTAAACGACGGAACGACGGCCTTTTGTCGCGAAACCGCGAAACTTTCCAATTGAAAGTCGAACCAGATGCAACATCGTCCTCCCTTTTCTTCCGCTTCTTCTCCTCTTACTCGACATTCTCGCGAAATCACTTTTTATGCATGAACCGAAAGATCGAGACGAAGATTAATTTTCAAATGACAAAACGAACATCGGAAACGGTGAAAAATTGAACAACTTTTTAATTAGTTCTCTACCGAAATGTAATTAACCCTGCTGCATTCTGCCTGTCATTTACGACCCAACTGTATTTTTCTAACGCTAGAAGATACTCCAGGTTTGAACAAAGTATCCAAAAATTCTATTTGACGGACAATTTTACGTTGAACGCTTCGAGAAGTTCAAAACCTTTTTCGTTTGCCAACATGAGAGCAAGATTGAAACATAGAAATTCGAGAACCGTAACAGAATTAATCATCGATTTGACACGTTTGAATATAAGTGTATTAGCTGTGACGAGTTTTATCGCCATTGTATCGAGTGCGATTGGACATCTGTAAGAAAACTACAATTCCATAAACGAGGGAGGGTTACGAAGCCATCTGTGCTGATTATGGTTGACGAGGGAACTGAACTTTCAGCTTAATGTTTGTCCTACGCGAGAAATACCCGATCGTGTAGAAAAAAAATCGCGAGAACACGTCTATCGAGCGTCTGTTTGAGAATATAAAACTGGATATGTTATTAAAGTCGAGAACTTTTATAAATCTTTAACGTCACGTCAAACGCGATTCACAGTTTACTGCGCTTTGGATAATGTAGTGTTGTAATTTCACACATGTGCATATACTCAACCGCCTTCGTTTCAAAGCTGTGCGTGCTATTGGTTGTAAGTACGCATTCTGATAACTAAATTGCCTCGTACGAGACCTTACCTCTTGCCACGCGACGAAGTAAACATTGCGACCACTTTAAAGTGATCGTACGTGCAGACTTTTGCCGCATGCAGGCAAATTTCTATATACCACGTATTCTAATCTACTCGATGCTCTAGTCGATAGAGTCCAGTTCAAATTTTCGCTGGATCTACAATTTGCTGCATGATAAATTATTAGATCAATTTATTTCACAGAATTTATAAGAAAAATGTGCACTGCGATAGTAGTAATTACACAAAGGCAGTGGAATAAATTCAAGCGCAAAGTAAAACAGAGACTAATTAAATGAAAAAGATATATGTGTATGTATGTAATAGATAGAATTCCTTTGAAGCAGTTAAATTAAATTCCCTTGTACAAAAGCAAATAATGGAACAATAAGAACGTTCGAACATTAAGATCTGGCTGCATATTGCTAATTATATCCATTATGCGTATGCTAATTCTGTACACATATCCATATACGTGTAGAGAATACAAAAATGTCTTTTTTCAGTTTATGTAATATCTATACAGGTATATTAAATTACTCAGAGAAACAAGAAGGTATAGAAACGAGCGACAGGCTTGGTTCATTTAAAATGGCTAATGTATACAATTGATTTTGCATCAGCGAGATACGTCGATTAATGTCAATGTAAGCGATATTTAAGCTAATTGCTGAACCAGCCAAACCAGTCCTCGGTCAATGCTCAGAGCATCGTTCTTCCATTATGCAGTTAGTATAAAGCAATTAAATTAAACAGTTGATACGATCGATCCAGATTGTTCAGGTGTCAGGTTATCGATGTGCATGACGCAAAGTGGGATAATATACATATAGAGTAAAATCGTGGGTGCCATTGTGTCTGACCTGGGGCAAACATATACTCAGGTATGTATGTAAATTGCGCACCTCGACACATGCCGTTAATGGCTGATTGTCTCCTTTTCTATTCTACACTTTCACAGAAACGACGAGCCGACGCTTTCGATAGAAAAAATCGACGCATTCGCAAAAACTTTAAACCGAACATAAACTAAATGCTAAAGTAAATCGGTAAAAAAAAACTGTTCGTATGCTATTTTTTGCCTTGGGCGCACGAGATATTCGCGTACTATATAATCCCATAAATTGATCGAATTTTAATAACGAATACTTCGATATTGTGCCAGGTAATATTAAAATGTTTCTGTTTTTGTTCCTACTTTGAAAGTTATAACAATACTATATTTTCCGTTACACGCGAATTCAACATTTTTATATATATTTTTTACGCCGTTTCCGATAATACATGTCTGAATTAGAAGCATTATTTTAATGCATTCGAAAAATACTATAAACCTTCCGTTATACGAAACTTTGTAAAAACGTTCCAAAATGTGTTACTGTATTATTTAACGCCTCGAGTTCATATCACGAGTCTGGCTCGTCATCGTAATACCTACAATGTAGAAAAATAATGGTAATATCGTTGTGTACAAAGTATACAATGACGAGATAATCCGAATTAAATGGTACATCAAGGGGTTAAAGACTATAAATTGTAACGTTAAATAACTGCATCTTTGAATTTGGTGCCTTAAATGAATTTGCTGTGTATAATGAAATCCCATTATTTATACATAAACGTTGAAATACCTTAAATCAATTTACTCGTGGTAATGTCGAAGAACAATGTAATAACGAAAACAAGTCGTAATTTACGCTACTCTTTATTAACGATCATTTGCATGCCATTACTACGTTCAATGCTTCGTAACACGGAGAGTTCTTGAAAAAAAGTTACATACCTTTGTGACGATTTCGTATTTTAACTAACGTAAGTATAATTTATAGTTATACGTAATAAGAAATATCGTTTCTTTCAACCGAGATGTTTATTATACTATCGTTTCTCAAATTTAAACAAAAATGTAAAGACACTGTTCAAATAACGAAATTTGAAACGAAGTTATATTTTATGCCAACATAATGAACCAAAGTGACGAAATTACATTTATAAATAAAATGATTCTTTTTTGAAAAGGTTAATTAAACAAACTGTAACCCTCCTCCGCAACACATACGCGTCATTGCGAAAGATGAATGTATTTGGAAGCAATTTCAAGTAAAATCACCGTTATTTCGTGATTTTATTTCCAATGATAAAAGGAAAATCCCATAAAAGAATGACGCGTCATACCGGTGAAACATTAATCTGGAAAGTCGATGTTATAGCCGACGAGTTTACTATGAAACGATGCAGACAAAACCGAAACTCGGACATTGAAGTACTATCCGTTATCAAAAAGAAAAAAACGAAACTGAAAACGAGAAGAGGTACACGCGAACCAATGGTCAAACGTTGCTTTAAGCCATTTGACTGCGATATTTTACACGGTTTACGCACGACAGTACAAAGAAATGTAAACATCGCAACCGCATACAATTCAACGAAGCATGTATATTTGGACGGCCGCAACAACTCACGAGGACTCGCACACGCAATGTGAAGTTTGTTGCAATTTTTTATTCGTACAGAAGTGTCTCGTGGAAACAACAATGACACGCGAAATGGTCCTGAAAACGAACACAAACAGTACTCTACCACCGTACTAGGTATGCAATGCTACACTTCCTGAAAGATTTATGCCCGCTCCATGTGCGATTTCAGCATTTCCAGCCAGTTGCAGGGTCCAGTGAATTGCGTCTAACCAAACTATCGATAGACGAACCCGGGTTTGAATCGAGGAATCCAGCGAATAAAAATTCAGCGCACTTACCATTACGTTAAAGATGCGACGTCCCTCATGCTTCGGCGCCCGATACAAGCATTCCTTCACAGCCGGGCGACGTCTCCGCTGAATACACGACAGCCTGCACTTTGCACCAATTCATACTAAACGCACTTTCCCGAATTGCTCCCTTCACACACCGTTCATCAGAATTCCTTCGAGTACACTGACTAGGCACTCTACGACAAATCGGCAACAAACCGGCAGTGAGACTGTAAATCTTGAACACGATCGAAACAGGGATTCAAACGCTCGCTCGAATACATTCGACCGAATAGACCTCTACGCACTCGCTCAATCGCCACGTTTCAATTGCCTTCTATGCTCGTAGAAAGTAGGAAAATTACAGCAAAGAACGAACAGAGATACACTCGCCATGGACACAAACGGACACTATTTTATTCTTTACTACATCGACTCGTTTAGGACGAACAACAGTCAAACGTAGAAAAGGATCGTCGTGACAGTTGTAACGATTCGTACGACACGTTGCCCTGTCATGTTCGCGGCATGATCGCGGGAACCATCGACAAGCGATAAGACATCCGCAAAATGATCGCACGATCGCTGGGATTTACACTTCGTATCTACGCGAAGCGACGGCAACGACACAAAACTCGCGATGAGATCGGACGTTTCCGCGAACGTGACTTGTTTTCGGACAACAAAACGTGACGGAGCCACGCGAAACGGGGTGGTTAGAGATAACAGGGTGTAACGCACACGACTCTCCAGCGGCAGTTGACGCGACACTAGAGAAAATCCGAGTCCGCTTGCCGCCACCGGATGCCAGACGCCGGACGCCTGCGCCCTTTGCCACCGCCTCCACGAGCCACGAGATTTCGTGCAATCGACGCAACGCGCCAGTTTAGCTCACGATCATTTCGCAAACGGATGTACCGCCGACCCGTCGAATATCATTAGCTTCTTTGTTTTCCGCCGTAACATCCCCGACAATCGATAGAATTTTACGTCAAGGTTACAAAGGCATTACATCGAGATTGCAATTCAGACTTTTTCCATACGATCCAAACAAGGAATTTCGGTCTTTCGAGCTCACTTCAAATACTTTTCTCGTCGTATTATCGATGCGATATTCCTTAACGCTTGAAACTGTTTCGGATCTGCCCTCAAGACGCAGACCACAACATCTACGAAACATCGATCACGACCAAATACAACGTAAACACGATTTTAGTCGTAAAAACCAATAACATAACAATCGAGAAGAAGCAAAATAGAAGACAGAAACAAACTATCAATATAGTTCGTAACTATTAAACTTTGTCAACAAAAAGAAATTGCCGATATTCACTGAAAATTAGAAAATAAGTTAATTGAAAATTTTGAAATAGCGCCGCATATTTTTTCTGATACTTTATCGTAGCTTCTAAAGAGACGAACAAGATTAGGTGACTTTGTACCTCAAAAATGAAATAAAAATTTGTAAAACGTAGCTACATCATACATCGAATTATTTCTGGTGAACATTCTCATTTACACATCTCGTATATACCATATCTACTTGAAACGAATCTGCGTTAAACGAATAAAGTGGTTCACTGTAACCACGATTGATTAAAACGGTCTTCGAATGAATTTTTTCGAAATTCTATAGCTAACGAGCTCTTCCATAGATACTGATAATATTCACAAAGTAGTATAATCGTGGGATTACGGTTAGATGCAGGCTCTTGGTAACGAGCATGGGTTAGTCAGGTCGAGTTCGGCACAGATGCAGATAATGGAATCGTAATGCTATCGGCTGATCGATGATAATTCTACATCGTTCAATGGAAAGCTTGTGGTCTGTGAAGTATAATGAGCACACGAGAAATAGTAAGCTTCTGTGATTAACAAGCTTGGCACAACGTTTCTCTCGATGCAATGGTAATTTTGCACTGATCGCTTGGAATCGTATGACCCGCAAGATAATTCTACTATAGTGACAACTATTTCTCGGAATTATTGCGATGCAGCGTTAATACTACATATATCAGTGCTTTACAATACATTTCAAATAATATCTGGGACCCTTCTTACACGGTGGATACGTACACTGCACAAAACAGCCGTAAAAAAGGTCGTGAAACAATTGATTTGTATTATATTCTCTATTATATCGCTATATATCGAGATATATAAAAATCAAAGTTCGTCGCTCGACCATTACGATGACATCTATTTCGTTTTTTCCTTTAATAATTGTCTAACAAGCCATACAAGTTTTCAGATCCCTTTGAACTCGTGAAGAACGTTCCAGATTAATAACATTTGCGGTAAACAAAACGCGTTAAAAACATTGCATAACTGTAACCAAAACGTGTTAAATAGACCGTGTAAAAAGAAACCGTGTAAAAGTAAATCGTGCAAGAAAGGTACTGTATAAAAAAAGTCCCAGGTGTATTTATAGTTACGAACATATTAATTAATGGAAGAGCTATTTATATGCGTCTACGTGTATCTCTTTTTCTACGAAAATTTAATAATATTATGGAATAAAGTTTAACTAGTTATTTATGTTTAACTTTTTATAAATTTCGATATGTACTTCCAGATTTACCAGATTTAATTTCATTACAGAAATCAACATCTACGTGTATAGGGTTCCAAACTGCTGTTGCTTGGTAATGCAGCTGTTTTGAACAGGAGTAAACAAACTTCTTACTCGAACTAGTATTCTTGTTGGAAATTATACTAAATTACACTATCACACAAATTGGAAATTACACTGTTACAATATCACATTCAATCAGAAATTTCCTTATATTCTGTACTGTAACGCGGTAGCGTTACAATTTCATCCATTTCAGATAAAATCATGCTGACAGAACCTCGTAATTTGTACTCGTAAAACAATACTTGTAACAATGCCGTGCTCTCCGTAAAAAGATACAATCAATTTTTACCTAGTTTTCGTGAAATGAAAACATAAATTGTGAAACTCTGAACTGACCAAACTGATAAATTACTGTTAGTATGTAAACAGTATCTATTTCTACCGTATTTTAACGTAAAAACAACGCGTGGATTTTCGGAAATTCCGACCAACAGGAAACACATGTTACATTACGTAAAGGAGGAATTTTATAATTTGAATACTTCGTTAGTGTAAAATAATTTCGTGTTTGCACTGATGCAACGAAGGCTACATAATAAGCCAGTCACGTTCATCTCTCTGTTTATTGTGTATTCACAGTCGAGGAAGAGCTTACAAACTCCAACGCAATTTGGATGGAAAAAATCGAATATGTCAAATGTAGCAGTTGGTGAAAATAGAGGAATAGTTGAAAGGAAACAATGACAACGCGTTCATGCATTATTGTATTTACAATAGAATAGTATCAAGCCTGTCATTGATAGGTAGGGCAATTTACGTTTCACGGTTATGTCATTAGCCCGACATAAAAGCGATTACGGCTGCTTCGAATTGCCGGCAGTAAAACGAACTTCTGCTTTAATCTGACATAACATTACGGGCCATTGAATAGAACTGGGTGTTCCTCATTTCGCGAACGAGGAATATCGGCTGCTCGATTATTGCACAAGGATAAGTTTGTCAACAATTGAATGCCACCGTTCCCTCTTCCACATTGAAACATTTTTCAACATTCTGAAATGATCTTGATCCATGAAATGCTCGTAAGGTTGCACGAATTTAAATACGAGGAAACGAAGGGACAATACGAACAATTGATTACTAAAATGAAAAATAGTAGGTAACATACGAAATATTCATTTTCTTTAGTTAAAATACAGTAGTTAAGAAACAATAAAATTCATGTAATATAAAAAAAAATACGCTTGGTCTATCGTATATTTAAGTTCGAGTTTTCTCGGGATAGTATAAGTTGTAAATTTAAGGTATAAACTAAGAATCGTAAGAGTGCTGGGGAAGAGAGAAAGAAAGAGAGAGTGTGTAAGGAAGAGTGCATGCCTTGGTGACGTTAAAGCTAAATGAGTAAAAGAGTGGGAGAAGGGTGCGAGGGTCGAGGGTCAGCATTTTTTGACCTGTGAAGACAGACGTTGTGAGCCAAGTGTGAGAATAAGACGTACGACGATATTGTAGTCAGATTTTGCATTGGGTATTGCTTGTTAAAATAAAACTAAACTTCACTTCAGATAGAACATCCTTTCTTGTCCTTACTCTAGACTATTTAAGATACTACATTCATATTATTTCGAAGTACTTTCATACGATTACAAAAAAGGAATAAGGGTGCGCAGAAATGCTCCTTGTAAACATTATAGTTCCATCGAAGAAAAGTACGTAGATATCGAGACTTTATCGACAACGATCTAAAAAGGAATTCAAATATTCTATTAAATCGGGCAACTTCCATTTGAAGAATATTATCGTACATTTAATAATTAGAGTATATTTAAACTAGGCATACTGTGCGTAGAAAAATGTAAATATTCATTAAAACCGACTTTATTTTATTAGTACGATGCCATATTTTTCGACGTTCGCTGATACAAAAGACGATACAGCTCGTGGCAGCCATGAGCTGTATTGAGTCTGGAAGGAGTTAAGATTACGGCGAAAAGTTACTTTAAATATTAGAGGTTCCTATCTTTCCGCCTCTTGCAGGGTTTCTGCAAAGTTTATTACGACCCGTAATCCCTTTTCCCTTTTACGACAAAGTTCGCCTAACGGAGAACGATGACGTCGTTTAAGCCGGCAAAGCGTCGTATCACACAATGGTTTTGAGTAGAAAATTCGCTTTCTTAACGATTCTCCGTGTAACAAAGTTACGAGCCTACGCGCGTGGCCGCGTTAAATCCTTCGAATAAAATATTTGTACCATAACGTTGGATAACGAGAAGGCGAAATAGATCATTTCATCGGCAAATCGTAGAAACAATCTCTTTTCTGCTCTCATTTTAAAGCCACATTTTATCACAGACGATAATACAAGTACCAAACGACCAAGGTGCCAAAAAAACAACCAATGACCCGTGCTTTTCTTTCTCGTCCGCTAGCATTTGTCTGGATTAGCTGCCAAATACTCTCTAATTTCTTCTATTATCTCCGTAATACGCGGCTGATAGGATTTCATAATACGGCATTGATTTTTAACGAGATCGCTGCGTCGATCACCGTACACCACGTGCTCCAGTTGATCGGTAGATCCTATAAAATATTCTTCCACCGCTTGTCGCGTTAGTAGCATTACTTGCATGTTAGCGACCGCATATGCCAATGCCAGGCCTTGAATGTCCTTGCAGCTCTCAATGAATTGCGCGCGAGGTAAGCAATCCTCAACATCGAGACCCTCCGCGGCCAATTCTTTCTTCATGGTGTCACAGTAAACGTCGATAAGCGACTCGTTGCATCGACGTCTAGTAGCACGATCGGTCGACAACAGGAAACAGATCACAAAATCGATCGCTGGCGGAGAGTATCGCAGGAATTGGAAGTCTATCAGGTAACACCCGATCGTCTTACCGCTAGAGTCTTTCTTGAACATGATATTATTTGGCCATAGATCCCGGTGACACATCACGTTTCTGAATTTATTTGACGTCTTCAGCAATTCTGGTAACCTCCATACCCACTTGGTTATCCAATTCTTAATAAGAGTCGCCTCATCGTCTTTCAGCTTCTCGTTCATATCAACTATAGTGCATGCACCTTTGATGCACGAGGAGAGATACTTCTGCGCCGCCAAATCGGTCTCGATGAAAGCCACCTCCTCCAGGTACATGCCGTAAAGGTCAAAAATCGTTTGACCGGTACTACGGCGAAGCTTCTCG